AACACCCCAGGTCCTTTCCAGCCACTCTTCCTCAAGTGCCACATCCACACGGTTTTGATCCCCTCCAGGGATGGGGACTCCACCACTGCCCTGGGCAGCCCCTTCCAGTGCCTGACCACTCTCAGTACAGAAATTTTCCCTCATAGCCCATCTAACCCAGGACCCAAGGCCACACCATGCACCCAGGCCGCAGCCTGGCCAGGATTCTTCCTTGCTGTTTTTTTGGTGGGCTTCCCTCTCCTCCCTTTTCTGCCCCTGCTGTTACAGGAGCCTGGAACCTCTCCTCTGTGGGGTCATTGGTTTTGGTATGGAGGGGAGGTATAACATCTTATACAGAATACTCTGAAGAGTGATATTTGTATCCTAATGGTTGCTTTAGCCTTGGGGGGCTGACAACTGCAATCTGCCAAACCACAGCCCAGTTTGGGAAGACTTTACCCTTTCCCCATCACCAGTGGTCATGGAGGACCCTGAGGTTTTGGACCCCGATGCCATTTGGATCCTCTCCTTCTCTCACAGGTCTCTGTGCTTTCTTTAACCCCCTGATGCAGGTAATGCAGGTCCATGTAATAATTAAGCTGATGAGCCCCTAACAGGCTCTGGGGTGTGTGCAGGACACCCTGCGATGGAGCGGTGCAGCCTCCCACAGGGACACCCGCGCTGGGCCCAGCGGAGCCGTTACCTTCTCATTCGCTCTTTTCCAGAAACAGCCCAGGATGAACACCATGGCCACGGGGGGCTGCAGGTAGGAGCTGATGGACTGGATGTAGATGAAGAGCTGCCCGCCCTGGCCAGCCTGCACCAGGGGGATCCACAGGATGGACACCACCGTGAGCAGCAGCACAAAGACCCTGTGCACGAAAACCACACCACTGCGCTTAGCTCAGACCGTTCTCTTCCAACTGCTCGGCTAACAGGGCTCCTACACACATCTCTCATAGCCATAACCCCCAAACCTGTGCCGTATGAAGCTCCTGCATCCACAGAGGGGCAGCGAGGGGTGCCAGGCTCTGTCCCTAACGCCCAGGCTCTGATCTGATGCTCCTGTCCTGATTTCCGTACCTGCCAACGATCATGAGCTCCCACTCGGAGCAGCGAGGGCGGAAGTGTTTCCAGAGGTCCATGGTGAAGATGGTGCTGGCGCTGTTGAAGATGGAGGTCAGCGAGGACATGAGCGCCGCGATCATCACCGACATCATCAGGCCCCGGAGTCCTGCAGACAGGGGGAGGAGCACGGCCGCGCTGAGGAATCCCCAAAAACCCCGCTGCAGGATGGCCACGAGTCTCCTTTGAACTACACCAGGCTTTAGATAGTGGGTTTAGCCCCAGTTTTGAATACACAGCCATAGGGAGGTGTTAACAGTTGGCTCTCACTGTTAAACGTCTGTGCTTTATCTCTCATCCAAATCTGACCGAATTAGACCTCTGGGTACTGGAGCATCACCCAGCTCTTGCTGCATTCTGTCCCTTGCCACTGTCCCACCATGCCTGACACGAATTACAAGTACAGTTTCAGGGTATTTTCCTCTCTGTGCTTTTCTCACAGACACGTTTTGGCTGGTGTGTGTCCCTGGTGCCAGCACCGTTCCCAGGCTCCTTACCGACGGGCAGAAGCTCTATCACCAGCTTGGGGTACGCGATGTCGGAGCAGCCAGATGGGTTGCCACAGATTTTCTGGCAGGTTTCTGTATCTGCACAAGCCACCAGGTCTAAAAGAAGCAAGGGAGAGTGAGAGGCAGTGCATTCCACAGTCACCATAAACCCATGTGTCTAAACAAGTCAGCCCAGTCAATGCTGTAAACCACCTTCTAAGTGAAACACTGGAAACCTTCCAGTAAATCACAGAATCCCAGAATGTGAGAAGTTGGAAGGGACCTGGAAAGATCCCCCAGTGCAACCCCTGCAGAGCAGGATCACCAGAGCAGTCACACAGGAACACGGCCAGGGCTTTGGGTGTCTGCACACAAGGAGACTCCACAACCTCTCTGGGCAGCCTGGGCCATGCTCCATAACCCTCACACTGACAAAGTTTGGCCTCATCTTCAGCTTGAACCTCCTGTGCTCCAGCTTGGGACCATTGCCCCTTGTCCTGGCATTGGCCATCCCAGAGCAGAGCCTGGCTCCTTCCTCCTGACACTGCCCTTTCCCAATGGATCCCCAGGAATGAGGGCACCCCTCAGTGTCCTCTGCTCCAAGCTCAAGAGCCCCAGCTCCCTCAGCCGCTCCTCAGCAGGAGATGCTCCACTCCCTGCAGCATCACTTTGTGGCCCTGCTGGACTCTTGCAAGCAATAATACAGGATATCCCAAAACAGTGAGAAAAGGCAGCACTGGGCTTCCTGCTTTTCCCATTTCCCCTCCATGCAGAGGACATGGTCGGTGCAGGCAGCTGAGCTGCTCTGGATGTTGAATTCTTTACAAATGTGAGGGCTAAGGCTGCCCACCCACCACCCAGCTCCTCACTCACCTGGGAAGAGAACGCGGCTGATCATGCCCGGCATCACCATCATGAAGAGGGGCAAAATTTTCAAGTAGGAGGTCATCAAGGAGCCTCCTTTGGCGTGCGAGAGGTTTTTGGCAGCAAGGGACCGCTGGACGATGACCTGGAGGTGAAGAAAGGCGCTCAGTGCCCTGTCAGCAGAGGAGCCTGTGCACGGTGTGGGACCGGTCACATCCCTGTGTGTGCTTTATCCTGCTCTGAACTGTGGAGATCTGAGCACAGAGCTTGTCAGAGCAGGACAGAGGCTGGAATGAGCAAAACGAGTCAAATAAGAGTGCTGCAGAGCATCAGGAGGTGCCCTAGGATGGCTCGGATGCTGCCCAAGGAGGGCAGGCAGCAGGGCCTGGGAAGATGAAGCCGGGAGTTCACAGGTTCACGAGAAGTGAAAGGTGTAAGTTAGAAAAAATCAATTGTTTTACTGAATTCCCACCACAAACACTAAACCAGGCGACACTGCAGACCCTGGGTCTGTGATCGGATCCAAACCACCCGTGATGTGTATTTGATATGGAACGAAGGCAGGAGCAGGAGCACACCTGGTCCGTGCACCAGTACCACAGCGAGGGCACGGTCATTCCCAGCAGGACGCCGGGCCAGGGCAGGTCAGAGCTGATGGGGTCGCGGAAGATGTGGAAGGCATCTTCCCTCGGCAAACCGCAGCTGCTGTTCTCCTTGCGGGTGCTGGGGATGGCGGCGAAGTATTTCATCTGCAAGCCTTCGATGCCCCCAACTTCAATGAAGCCTGGAATGGGTCAAGAGGAGCGGTTATCGCATCTTCACAAGGCGATGCTCTGATTCCCGGTCTCTGTAGTTTGCTCTGGGTGAGCCCCACAAGTATTTTTTAAATCCAAAGCTATCGACTCTGACACTGGGGGATGGCATGGCACTAAAACTGCTGGCTACAGAAGGTTTGTTCATTATAACACTGCTTCGAAACGTTCTTCAGAGGTTTTTCAGGGAGTGCTCATGCATTTCTACCACAACAAGAACTACCGTGAGATTATTTGCAGCAGCACATATTCCAGTGGGAGAAAACACAGAAAGCAGTTCCCAGAGCATCAGCTGAGTAACCAGTTGTGCTGTTCCAGCCCGTCTGCAGCGCTTTTATCCTAGTTTTAGTAGCAAAACCCCAGGGAAGCACTCACTGAAGACCATGAGAGTCACGGCCCCGATCAGCATGATGAACGTCTGCAGCGCGTCCGTGTAGATCACAGCGGCCAGGCCCCCTGCGAGCAGAGAAGCAGCGAGCGGGGTTTGTTGTGTCCCAGCACCTCCCTTTGCAGAGGGTTTTGGTGAGCCCCGTGCCCGGCGGGCGGGCGCCTTCCCACCCCCATGGAGGGCGCTTTGGCCAAATCCCAGGCACAGTTCTTGGGCTGCAGTTTCTCCTGTTTGGAGCTGTGAGTCACCACTTTGCCACTAAAAAGCCCAGCATTAAGTACTTCTACGGGAAATACATGGAAAAGCTCCAAAACAAAGGCCAAGCTGGATAGGGAGGAGGGAAAAATAAAGAGGGAGGAGGCATCTTTATAAGCAGCATCACTGGGGAAGGAGCAGCCTTTATTTGGGGTTTGCTGCTTGCTCCCTGTGCGGCTTTTTTCCATTTGGCCCCTCAGAAGCCTAGAAAGGGCACCCAAAGTCGACAACAACAACGTTTTCTACGTTGCAAGGCTCATTGTCGTGGAAATCACTCATTCCTCCCAAAAACCCAGGGGAAAAATGAAGTGTGCAAACGCCTGGAGCACATCTTCTCCTCAAAGCAGGATGGACGTGTACCCTTATGTGGTATGGCCTTATCAGAGGAGTTCATTTACTCTCACCTGGTAATTTTTTCTTAACAGCTGAGTTGTCAGTTATTTCCCCCCGCCCCCGTTATCCATCCTCATGGCAAAACCAGATTGCATGGGAAATGCAGGACTCGTCACAGGGATGCACAGTGCACCGTGTGAACACGCTCAGCTCACTGAGCACGATCTGTGGTGAGATCCGAAACTCGAGCACATACCCGCCACGGTGTAGACGGCGGTGATGGCCAGCAAACCGGCCACGGCGATGTAGAGGTCCCAGTGCAAGGCCTGCTGAATGAAGAGAGCCCCGGCGTACATATCGACCTGGAGAAAAACACATCAGTGTTATCAGTCACAGTTGTGATGGTATCACCAAGCTGGGAGTGCCAGGGAGTGTGAACCAAGGCTGACCAAGCTGGCTCCTTTACTGGGACCAGGCTGGTTTGTAGCTGCTGTGACTCAGAATCACAGAAACACAGAATGTGAGGAGTTGG